CCTCAGCTGTTCCAAAACACTGGAACAGACGTTCCACGTTGCTTTAGCTGGCGCTTGGCAACTCCACTTTATTCAGATTGGCGCGTGCACGCTTGCCGTCCGCGCAGTTCAAACTGGAAGCTTGCCCTGCGTACAAGCCCCAAATTTGCGTGTCTGGACAGACGCTACAGGGAGCAGCCGACTCTCGAGTTCTCAAATGCCCTCATCCGAATGAAAGTCATGAGGAGGCCATCCCCATACTCTGCCAGTGTGACTTGACTCCAGACTGCGCGGGCATGTCAACAGACCTCCAACGAAAAAACGCTTAGCAAATACCATCTGCAAAAACTGAACATGCCGATGGTCAGGCAAAATCAATTCGTGCAGCACGGAGAATGCGGATCATGCCTCAAATGTATGTCGGGCACAGTTAGACGGGCAGACATCAGGTTGGCACATGCTGACAAGCCTGCATAGCAAGCCTGACAAAAATCACATGGGCAACGACGAGTAGCGGAGGAGACGCCATCGGCTGCTGTACCGCCATGCTCGCTGAGGCTGAGGTTGCACGGCGCTTGCCACAGTTACTGTGTTATTACATTGTTTGTTTGTCTGTCTCACCGCGTTCTGTCTGTGGTAGGATGAGTTGGCCTGACCTAGAGGTCTGTGGGTCGTAGCGTCCAACACATGCTCTCTGTTTCAATCATGCTGGATACTGATTAGTGTACTACTGCGGACCCCTGAAACAAAACACAATCCCCATGCAGAGGAGCCCAGGGCACACCCAAAACAAATCTTAAGATCAATAAAAGGAGGGTTGCGGAGCTCAACATAGATCTGTTAGAATCAAGAGGCTCAGAAGCTATATTAGACGATACAGAATAGGAGGAGGGCTGCGTACGCATCTCAGTTGTTCTTTCAAATCAGTACAAGAGATTCAGTAGCCGTTTGAATTAAATTCCATATAGGATGGGCTGAGACGGCCGCAAGCAGGCCCCGCCACAAGAAATGCTTGTTGTTGCAAATCAGGCCAGCTGCTGGACCACCCCCGCAGACATGATTGCCTGACAACCTCGAACATGACATCACTAGAAACCTTTTGCTTTAAGTACCGGAGCCTTCAAAAGTAGAGGCTTTTGCTTTCTGGAATCCTCTGCTAAATGTCAATGATTGTGTCTGGCCAGCTCGGAAAGGCTCTTCTTCAGAAATTCCTAGTTTTGGACCTGGCCTGAAGCTTGAAATCTTGAAGCCTTTGCTGTCGCTTTCTGGATGCCCCACGCAGCCCAGACAGTTACGGATGTTGTCGGAGCAGCTTGACAAGTACTTAAAAAGCACAAGCAGCTTTTGGCCTGATTACCTACCTCTTTGGCAACGCGAATTCGCAGAAACAAGCAACCCCACCTCATTCCGGGGGTGCTGAAGAATGGCACCCAAACTTCACATAATTGCCCCCACACTAATCGGGATTTCACATGAGGGGCCTCACCCCCTGCCCACCGATAGATATGACCTTCCATAATCCGTCCCCCGAACACTGCCCAAACAAATTTGAATAAGCGGTTTGTATCTGCATTGGTATTGTCTTTACATTAATCTTTGTCTTTTTCTTAGACTTAATGATACTTGCTACCCACAGATCTCATGTTTTGCCATCAGCAAGCAGTCGTGAATGACGGCACGATTTTCACAAGCAGTTGGGGTGGAGGGGGGTGGGGAGTAGATCATTACATCCAAGCCACCATGGTTTTTGAATCGATTTGTTGTCTTGCGGACTCTTCAACTGTTGAGCTTTTGTGTGTTCATCATGCAAAAAAGGCCAATAACGGCAGGCTGCCAAAAACTTTGGTTGCAGCCGTGACTGGAGTTTTTCCAGCATCTTCGGAGAAGGTGCCGTGGATGTGTGGTTCAGCCAAGTGCACGGAAGACTTGTGCAGGAGCAAAAATTGATGAGAAGCGCACTACGTGCAAGCCGCCAGCCAAAAAGAGCTGAGGCAGGAAACTCTAAACAAACAAAATCCCTGGAAAACCCTACGATGTCCCCACAACTTTAGGCTTCAAATGGTCAATTGACAACTGCGGGTTCCAGCCATGTTAGCACTAGCATGTTCAATGGTATTCGTAGCAACATTAAGCAATATTGCAAGAGCTCATGTATTTCAATGGCAGAAAGGCTCGTTGAAACATGTTGAACTACGTACATGGTATCACACACCGCTGAGCCGATATATGCGGACAACTGAAAGCAATATGCACTCAATCCAAAAACAGCCGGGCAGCTTTGTATCTGGAAACTGTGTCCTTCAGTCACCTTCATTCTTCATTCAGAATCTTCTTGCTTACTCTTGTCATTCTGGCAGATTTGCATTCTCTTTTGCCATGTCCAGCAGAATTGTTTTTTGGAAAGTTACGTGCGGCGGTCCAGGCATCCAAAGTTCAATGAGTTCGCCATCAGCTCCAGTGAAAAGCAATGCTACAAGAAACATGAGAGGGCAGCAGGTTCCCATACTAGGTAGTTGGGGCGTTGCTTCAGCTCCAAGACCACGCAGGTGGTCTGAACTATGTGTGCTTGATTGGGAGCTCTATCCTTGCCACCGGTGGCAGCATCACTGTGTTTCTCTGAGTCTGTCACAGCACGCAGCTATTGCGCTGGTATCACCTCTGTCTTCATCGAAGGCTAAAACACATCCTGTCACCATCAGGCTCTGTTACCTGCTGAGGAGCGAAACAACCACCGAGACATGCTTTCAACAATTCTTTGACTTTACGAGTAGCGTCGGTTGACAAAAGAAGTGGCTCAAGGCAGGTTTTTTGTTAAATGTTGTTAAGTTTGCTGCCAGCAGAGTTGATGCAGTCTTCATCGTAGTTATGCTAGCAGATAACTTCTACTCAACTCTTAGCCTAATCCTCGTGGCTCCACGGTGTGACACAGTCAGCGAGGACAGCGGTATGTTTCTGACGCACAAAGTAGATCGTGCGCCTATTGAGAGAAGCCTTTCAGGCAGAGCGGCTCGCTCGTTTCTCGATGGCACGTCCAATCAAGAACTGAAAGTCACTAAGCCGTAACAGCTGACTCCAAGCAACGGAAAGGTTCGCTGCAGACTCCACCAAGCAAGTGCCAATGCAATGCAGTCTCTGCGGCACTCTGAGCACAGGTTCTGCAACTTCTTCTCGCTGACGAACACCTCAGCAACAAGGCAAAACAGCCATCTTCTACTTGCAAACTCTCTCTTAACGACACATCAAACACAGGGTTGCCCAGCTACATTCTTAGAGCTGCACGCAGAAGGATTGAACGAAGAGCAAGATGTGTTACCTTCGCCCCGGATCTTTCACGGTTCCGCCCTGCCAACAGCTCTGCCAAAGCAAGAAGGAGCAGCATCTGTCATTCTATTCAAGTCCTTTACTGCAAAAGTTGCGTTCTGCACTGTGAGTTCAAGGTGTTGCGGTCCGGCAGCATGCAAGCTTTACTCCCTCTTCCATGCAATCTCACCCTACATGAAGTGCCTTGTTGGCATTAACTAACTTCATACCCTGTGCAATGCAGCAATGCAACAGTAAGAGAGGTCTGTGCCTGTGCTCGATTTGTTCTGCATGCCAAGCTGTACGCACTTGCAACGAATGGCCGTTGCTGCAGATCAGCGACAGAAAGGCTTGGCAAGGTCACATAAACTGCTTTAGTGTGAACAGTTTATCCTGGGCGCACACGTCATTCACAAAATTATTGCTAGAGGAAATTCGGACAACAATGCTAACTCGAAGAGCTGACCGCATGGGAGATATGCTTGAGGCAGACACGAAGAAATTGAAAGTTGATACATATGCAGTCGTCAGCATGAGGCCTTCTTCATCACGCTCACATTTGTCCGGAAGCCGTTCAGCTTACCCTGGCTGCGCGCATCTGAGCCAGTCCCTAAGATCTTATCTATCCATGGAAGGCATCAAATTCAACGCAGACGACGCTACCCTCAGTTAGAGGCTTGACCGTGATCGGCTGCCACGTCAAGATTTATATCAGAAAACAGCCTCGCATCACGAAGGGCATGCGAGATGGGCGCCCGTCTTTTGCCCTGCCAAACGCTCAGAGTGACGATTGGGTGAATGGATCCCGTGAACCAGGTGTTGTACAGCAAGTTCAGTGCAGTCTTAAGCTACACTTTGCTGTCCTGCAATATCAATTTTCTGAGCAAGTGGCCGCAAGTAGCGCTCGAACTCTGCGAGCTGCGCACGCAAATCCGCCAGTCGCAAGTCTACGCTGGGCTCACCTTCGATGCCTTGGCAAGAGGTCAGAAGCCAAGGGGATGTAACACTCAACCGGAGCCTGCACACTGCTTGCAGGTTTGAGATCTACAGCCTGCCGGCTTCAATGCAGGCTGCCTGAAAAAACCTCAAGACATCGACAAGTTGCATCCTGGCCAATGCCCGCGGCGGCGGCTATAGATATCCCGCAATTCCTTCACATGAAGTTGGAATAGAGAATCGCACTTTGAACACAAACGGTGGCTTGGAAGCAAGGCCTTGAAGAGCTGTTCAGTGGCAACTGCCTTCAGTATTGAAACTCACAGAGAACCTCGTGAATCTCGGCCCAAGCCAGAGGGTCGCGCCTCCTTCGGCCCGTTGCGAGATGTTCGTTGGGCAATTCGATCAAGGCAGCAGCGTGTTGGCCGGTCCAGAGGTGCCCAGTCGTCCTCGGCAAATGGGTCAGTTGAAAGGTTACAGGAGGGCCCGGGCATCTCTTTTCCTGTGATTGCGTGACCTCTTGCCTTCCGCACGTCCCACAATCGCCTATGAGTCTGTCTCGTCACCTTGTCGCCTTGAACATGGAAATTATTTCGCTACAATTCTGGGATCGCTTGCCAAGATTCAGCATGCGGGCAGCCTCTCATAATGGGGGTTGACCTTGCTTGCATTCGAAAGCAAAACGCCTCTCAACGTGGTAGAGAAGTGCCAGCTTCAAACAGTGAAGCAACTTGCAGCGGTCATTCCTGGGTCTTCCTCCACTCTTTGGATTTACGTCAAGGTGCATGAGGTCTCGAACAATCTCAGCCGCATAGACCCCATTGCTGACCTAAGTCACAGACTGAACCAAGCCCGACAGCCCGGCAAGCAGTGAAACTGCAATGCAATTCTCACAGAGGTCGATTTCACTTCGGCATCTGGATCTGAGAGGCTGCAAATCTCAGGGTGCCAGGCCCCGTGGCCCACAGCAGCACCCACCAGCTGCACAACTTGCTGGAAGCTTGCCGGCCCTGATACAGGCAGGAGTTTTGTCCGAGTATGCTTTGCACTGTTACACCGTCCAGGTGGGTTTAGAGGGTTTCTTAACAGAGTGCAGCAGGAGGCGAAGGCCCGGGGCCATGCCTTGGTGGACCAGAAGATCGGCCACAGCGCCTGCCATCTCGCAGAGACTGCCTCAATTGATAAAAGCTGGCTTTGCCTTTTCAGGTCTTACGTCTAAGCTTTGCGCGCAACGCATTGGCTGAGGCTTAGAGGGCTAGGACTGACACGTACAGACCTAAACGACTACCGCATCCGCCACCCGAAAAGTGACGGCAAAAAACCCTGAATACAACAATCTGCTGAGGCTCGAAAAGGCATGCCATCCTTGTTGAGCACCTGTAGCAGGCTGCAGTTAACCTCAGCAGAGAGACATACTCTTTCGGCTGCTGTGGTTGTCGTGCCGCATCTGTTCGGAAAGTCAAGCAACAACTCCAAGCCCCTTGTCTTTCACCAAGGACCTGGGCTGAGAGTAGGATTTGACAGTAACTTGCCCTGCTGTAGCCATGGAAGGCCAATCTGACCCCTGAGACTCAGCACAAGTGCAGTCCGCAGCAGCATCAGCATCAGAACGCCCTCCCCGAAATCCCAACACTGTAAGAGTCTTGGCAAGGTGGCAGCTCATGCTGTTATTGAAGAGAAGCAACTGCTGGTATGCATTGCAATCTGCGACTTTCCTCCAGCAAGCATCTTGGCAAATTCTGGCAAAGCAATTCAGCCAAGCAGCTTCATCATCCTTGGCTGGACATGTCTGCGTGAGCGGTCAGGCAGATCTTGAGATCAAAGCCAGGGGGCTTCAAGTTGCTGATATGTAGCAAAAAACGCGGATTCCTGATCATTTCTGAGTAAACTAAGCGACTCTGGACCTGCAAGAATCTGGCAGGGCTTATCTTCTAGCACGCAACCGTTGGGGACACTCATTGCCAGCACGGCATGTTCATGATCCCTCAAGTGCGAAAAGACTCTGTTGCGCGTGCCGCGGGCGAAGCTTCATAGCCACAGAGAGATGTTTGCTGGCCTTGTCACACTCTTGCGCCATTCGATGTAAGTCTTTGTACAGGTTCACTCCCACAGTTCCAGTCAACCAAGCTAGATTGTCAAATCCCAGAGATGTCGTCATGTTTTGGCGCCTCTTCTCCAAGCCAAGCATACAGCTCCGTGGCATGAGCACGGCTTGCAGGACCATATGCATCGCTGCCTGGAGCACTTGCAGATGTTGCTCAGCCGGGGTGGATAGGTTTAGCAACCTAAGTGGGGTCCCCGCCATGCCTGCACATTTTCGGTGGGACTGCCAGTACGGCTCCAAGACCCCGCACGTGAAGGGAAAGGGCATAATGTGCGGAAGGGCTTTTTTATCTCCACCAAGGGGCAGCTGTGAACTCCAAGCTTCCACAGATCCAGCGCCACAGAGGAAGCCTGTCCAGGTCCGCACGAATCTCCACCCATGCTCTCCAAAAAGAACCACCCAGCTGTGCCTTTTGACTGAGATCCTCCGGCGTCGCGTTTTCAGAGACCAGGCCGGCACGAGCCATGAAGTGCGTGGAGCCGAATCGCCTGGAAGCTTTGAGGGGCTGGCTAGGACAGTGAAACCTGCCTTGGAAGCTTCTATGAGCAGCAGCACTTCTGATTCATGACCCATGATCCCTTTTGCGAAGTTGCCTCCAGAGACCAATGCTGAGCACGTATTCACGAGCAATTGCGCGCTTCTGCTGTGTGGTAGTACTCGAGCGCCATTCTGCACAGGAACACTTTAGATGGTGAACGGCTTCACCCAGTCCAAAGGCGAAGTAGTTGACTAATCATGCGGGAGGGTGCTCTCAGAGTCTCTGAACTGAGATGAGCGTCTGTCATCCAAGGGCAGCAAAAGCTGACGGATTAGAATGCTCGTGCGATCATGCTCCTTGGCTCAGAAGGATTATCAAAGCGAATGGTCAAGCAACGTTGCGGCTCAACTTCATGCATCTCAAGTCATCCGAGACGCTTTCTTGACATTCCTGCACACTGTGCTGGGGCGAAAGGTTCAAGCTTAATCTTTGAGCAAAGGGCGCTACTAGGCATCTCTCGCCTCAGACGGAGATGTCTCAACACTTCATCATCAGTCCACGGATATGGCTGACCATGCTCCTTGAAAGCCAGAAGGCCCAAGCTTCAGGAATCGAGCTTCTCTGTCTCATGTCTTGGAAAGGAAGACCGGTAAATGCAGGAAGTAGGCAATCTTAATGACCATCAGCTGTGCGCAACATTAAAGCTGGCCATGGCCAAGAGTCTCGTCGCAATCGAATAGCCTCTCTCTCCCGCATGAAGCCATAGAAACCTTGGCCAGCTCAGGGTCTCACATTGCCACGCCTCCTTGGGCTTGCTTTCAGTCCTGGAACCATCCACGGATGCGGAGAAGCCGAGCTCGGATGAAGACACTTGCTGCGGGACTGGCTGCGGCACCTAACATGGCTTCTGCCATGATTCATGTTGCCAAGCCAACCCTCACACATGATCAACAGCCTTCTGAGCCTGCTGCCGCTGCAGCAGCTGTCGCGACAGGTTCTGCAGGGGAAGCTGTCGCAGCTGGCGCATCTGGTGCCTTGCCAGGCTGCTTTGCAGCCTCCTCGGGCGCACTAGAAGCTTTTCCTTCAACCTCAGCTTTCCATGGAGCACAAATCCATTCCAAACCGGCATCCTTCGTCAGGGCGCTGACTCTAGGTATGACTTCCGGTGCCTCCAAGACCTCCTGCATCATCATGCATCGGCTGCAATTTGTTGCGAAATGCTTGTGACGGTCAGGTACTTCGAAAAGCGTTTCATGGGCAGCTGCCGCCTTGTCTTTCCTTTCTTTTTCTTTCTTGTCCTTGTGCTTCTCCTTGCGCTCCTGCCAGGTGTTTGGGACGCGAGACGCGCTGTGAGGTTCTGTTTGCCTGAAAATGTAAGCCGCACCACAGGGCACTAGCAGCAAGCGGCACAACGCAACTAGCAGACCAGCGGCTGCATCTCTCCTATAAGTTGACCAAAGCCAAACCCTGTCTGAATTTTCTGGATGAAACAGAAAGGGGGCTTGGAGAACTCTCAGCTTGTGGAGAGTCAAGCTTCTGCTGCCGCTTTGGGCACATACAGAGCAAATATCCTGAGACCATCTGCTGCAGCGCTATTGCGCTTAGAAGGCGGAAACGTGGCATGGGGCAACCTGGATTCGGCGCTGCGCAAACAGGTCAGCATGCGGGGGAAACGCAAATCAGGCAGCCAGCGATGCAATTGCAATGCGTTCTGGAGCTGTAGGCCTTCAGCGCACAAAGCGCGATTTAGCAGGAGTAGTTCCAAGTAACATGTAGCCAACAGAATTCACGCTGCTGCCTGCAAGTGAGACATCTCGGCTAGAATCATCTTTGGACTCGCTTCGGTAAGTCCCAACAACACATTCCTGCTTCAATGCAAAGTGGCCTCTCGGCCTAGTTTCAAAGCTCTGCTGACTGGTGCCTACTGCCGTCCCGTCACTTCATGCTGCTGAGGGATAGCATTAGATTTGAACAGAGCTACCTTTCTGCTTGAAGCGCGCCTGCACTGATACCGAAATTAGGACGTCGCCTTCCTCAACTCACATGATGCGCACGTTGGAGATGATGATCTGAGTCAGCTAAGGTAAGCTTCCCCGGTTTGGCGTGGGCGTAACTTGCCGTGCTGTCTGGCATGCGCAGCACCACTGGCTTAGACATCGAGTTGTTGCGCATGCAGCTGTTCAGCTATTGTGCGAAGTGCAGGGCCCGCACTGAGCCATCGGAGCTGCCAAATGCTGCCGTCCTCCACATTTCCGCAAGCTACGAACTAGAGTCAGAGTACTCAAGGCAGGCGCTTCGACTCAGGCCTTCCATCCGAGCTGACTGAGGCTGAGTAGAAGGCACGGCTGTAGCCCTCGAGCGAACTGAGAAGCCTGCCAACAGAATTCACTTCGCTTGGGCAAGCCTGGAATTTCACTGAGCTATAGTCTAAGCTCCTTAGATGGGGATGAGAAAAACGACAACTATATTGGTTATTAAGGGGCATACGGGGAGTGTAGACTATTATTTAACTGGCCAAGGAGCCGCAGGGGTCCCCCACTCTTCGGCCGCTCAAAGATCCGTGCCTCCAGTTTGCTCGAAAGCTCGAGCATCGAATCGAACACGAATACTTGTTGGAACTGAACGCCTGAAAACATGCATGACCCTTGGCCCTTCATGGCCTGATTTTCCTTCTCGCCAGCAGCGGCAATGGTGGTGTTATCAAAGCTGTCCCACCTCATGCGTGAGAGACTGTATATCTCGGTCTTCATTTCGGTATGCGAGGCTTCACGTTGCTTTGGGGCCAGCACCAGCTTGTTTGAGACTTCGTTTTGACCAAAACCCATTGCCGACTGCTGGGCTCCAAGCCCAGCTTGGAAGACCATGCAGGAAGGTTGGGCAGCCTGCCACAGCGCCATTTCGTCACTGTCTGGGCAATAACAGCGACAGCTTCCGCAAGCCTTGTCTGTGTCTTCCCCCGACCTTACGGATCAGCAGGCTCGAATACAATGGGCGCAGATTTGATTTAGGATAGTTCCTTTTTCGGGACGGTGTGTTCTGTGTCTACTCTCAGTCAGAGCATCCCAAAACGTGATGATGCTCCACGTGAGAGCACGGGACCGATTGAAAAACTCCATGCCAGCGCAAAATTTGAAGCCCAAATGGGAGGACGCTTCAGTTTCAAGCCAGACTGCCAGGACGATCGGTGTAAGAGCGCAATTTCATGCTGACATGCAAGGACGCTCCACAAGAGAGCTGGATCTCAAGCCCCAAAATGTTAGGATCCTCGACGCGAAAGCACAATTTCACACCCAAATGCGAGGAAGCTCAACGCCCGAGCACGATTTGAACTCAACTGCAAGTTTGAGCTAGATCTACCTGAGAGCGCGAGTTTGAGCGCAATGCGAGATGGGAAAGCCCCCATAAGGGCATGTCGAGCCAAAACACAACAAGATTCCGCACGGAGTGTAGCTTAAGAGCAGACATGCGGCATTGGCGTACGCGGAAGCATCATTTCCAGTCGAAACGTGAAGAGCCAGAGGAGCGTGTGATGTCAAGCCAAACGACAGCATCAAAGCAACGACAGCTCTGCACTTCGCGTATTGAAAAATTATGGTACAAGCAATTGTTTGCAAACGTGCTAACAAGAACATAGTTTACCACGGCCTTCACCGTAGGGCCTTTTACAAACTTGCGGGTCGCAGTGTCCCCATCTGCCATATCTGCCAGCATGATGATCGGATGACATGCCACTTGGAGATACTTCTTGAAAAATACTCTGACAAGCAAACATTACCGTAATAAATGATGGTCAGATGGCATCATAATCTTCTGAGGTAACCTTGCACAGCTTTCACAACAGCAGGGGGTTTCAAACACGATGATCAGTTGTCATGCTGCTCGGACGAATATTTTGTCAAAAAAAGAGAGCTGGCCACTGTTGCAAACATGGTGATAAGAACTCAGAGTTTAGAGTTGTTGCAAACAAGGCGATGCGACAATACTTTGCCAGGCAAGTTTGCACAAGAAGGGTTGGTTCTCCTTCTCAATGGTCCAGAGGACCACAATCACTGGGAAACCGGAGGACCAAGGGATCAGAGAACAACAGGATCAAGGACCAGGGGAACCCAGCCAAACTTTAAAACCTTTGGCCCCCATGGCTGGCTCTGCCTCAAAGCTTCGTGGGAGCGCCTAGAAGGCTCAGCAAGGGCATTGAGCGCAGTCGTGGAAGTCTACTGGGAGGAGGGTTTAGGACATCCTTCAGGTATCTCTTTCGGATTCTGTGGGGCATCGCTTGCTGCAAACTGGCGGAAGTCAGAAACCAATCTATTGGTTTTGCTTCCGTGTTTCAAGTCTCTGTGAATCTACGTAACAGAGAATGCAAGAAACAGAGAGCAAGAAGCAGAAAGCAACAAGCAGAAACCAACAAGCCGGAAGCAAAAAGCAACAAGTAGAAAGCGACCAGCAGGAAGCAACAGCAAGAAACATGAAAAGATACCTTAAAGCAATAAGCAGAAAGTGAAACCAGAAAGCCGTAAGCAGAAAATAAGCACAGAAAGAAAAGGAAAGAAAGCAACAGGCTGGAAGCAAGAAAAAGTGCCATTGGCGGGAAGCGCAGGCAAGGAAGAAGCGAAAGGCAGAGCAAGACGCAGAAAACAAGCCAGGTTCAAAAAAGTAAGGAACTGTCAGCAACAGCAGGCAACAGCAAGCCACAGAAACAAACAACTCAAAAACATATCCCCAAACATAAGAAAACTGCAACACATGAACCCGAAGACAAGTGTTTCTCGACATCTTTGCCAAGCCTACCAGTAAGTAATGCCTTGCGCTATCATGACCTCCCGTCAGTGGCGCGGACCACTGATAGGTTTGCACCGCAGTCATTGTCAATCCAGCCTGCACTCGGAGTAAGCAGCTGCGCAGCCCTTCTGCTAGCTGCTAGCAGGACCTGCACTTGGAAAGAGTGTAATGGCTCAGTTGAACCTTCTTCTCAGACTCGTCCGCTTGCTTGAGCAGGCGCAGGTCGAAGAGCTGAAGCGGGTTCAAGCTGCGGTGGCTGCCTGAGTAGCTCAGTAGCTCTCTGCGCGACCAGATCATCATGAACTCATGGACTGTTTGCTCATGGCACCTGCGAGGAGGGTGTTGCCGTCGCGCGACATGTCCAAGGAGTCGCCACCTTGGAGCAGAGCTTCACATGTCCTCATTTGCATTGCTGCCCAATAAAGCTGCTCTGGCCACATCTTGTCTCCGGCCGAGTCACAGAGCTCCACACCAGAGATCCAAGCCGAAGGGGTCTTTGGAGTTCGAAGGTCCCAAAGAAGTACGCTCCTTCACAGTGTCTTCTGGCTTCGCAGCTCATAGACTTTCCGCCCTTTAGCATCAAACTTGCATCTCCTGTCCATCCCGCCAGACAAAAACAAGTGCTGGTGCTCAGGCACCGATCGGATGCCTCGGATGAGCTTTTGAGAAAGACTTGGGAGAGCAATTGTGGGTCACATAGCGCAAAGGCTTGCCAGAAGACCGCACGCTAGGAAATATGACATTTGAAAAGCATCTTTCCTCTGTGGACTTCCCCTTAGTCACGTGTAGTCAAGCGCTGCACTCTGCTCCACTTCCTGCCGAGATGCTCATGATCTTCAGGCTGTGACGACAGGGCTTCTCACCTACAAGGCATGCCCTACGAGAGCTTGCCGAGGAAAGCCCACAGATCTTCAGCTTGGAGGCTCTTTCTTACCTTGTGTGGTCACTTGTTCACTCTGTATCCAACAGATTGATCATGCACCACGGCTCTCAGGCAGTATGATTTCTCACATTCCTAGAGCTCAACTTCAAAGCAACAGCTCCCTGTGCCGGCACCTACCGTGGCATCCTTTGAACCCAGGCAGAGCTCTTCCTGAACGGGGCTCCAGTAACTCAAGGGCCAGACTTCGAGGCTCGTGGCATGTGGAAACGAGTTGCCTTAAGTTTGCTGCCCAATCCAGACAGCTCAGTTTCAGGAAATTGGAGAAAGCTTCACAGCCCAATGCTTCTCGCACCTTCATGTCGCGACCTTTGCTGGACTTCAACCTTGGAAGGGAAGAGCTCAATTGCTCAGCACCCGGGGCTGAGACAGCGGCGTCCGTGGGACAAACAGTTGCCCTTCAACTTTCCAGCTTTCTTGTAGGTGCCCGGCTGCTCCACGTCGTAGACTTTGACGACCCTCTCCTGACAGCTGCAGTCACAAGTCTCTTGCAGCCTCCATCATTGCAAAGGTAGGAAGAAGGCAGCCACCCTCATTCACCCAACTGGCCAACTAAGCTCCGCAAGCCAGATCATATACCTAATGTCCCAGCAAGCGACCACTGAAGTAGACGATTTGGGCTGGACAACAATCATTGAAGTCATCTTTAAGATCCGAAGGCAAGACGTGTAACACACAGCCTATCAAGACTGGCGCCTGGCCGCCCACCAAGAGCTTATCTCCACCCTGCAAGGTGATGGATGACATTCGAGCCAAGCAACAAAAATGCGCAAAGGCAGAAAAACAATCAATACTGGTGGCATAGTAGCGATCCTTTTGTGGGCTCACGCCTCGCTGAAGGAGAGCGCATCCAGCTCAGCTTCACCAGGCCTCGGGGAACAAAATCCACGCTTCCAAAGCCAGGCCAGAGCGCAGCACAGGCCCACGCATGGACCACGCATGGGACCACGCATGTGTTTCGGAAAATACAACACTCAAGCCTTCCAAGTGTACTCGTTTATTGCTCAGTATGGTCAATATGGGCACCAGAGCCGCAGACAGCTACTGCACCTGTGGAGGTGCAGATCAAGAAGGACAGCCCGCCCGATCCAATCCAAGGTCAAACATTGAACAGGTCTGCCTTAAGAGCTGGTCAGCCCTCCTAAAGATACAGGGAGTGGAATTCTGGGTCAGGGAGCTCGATGATTAGAGCCGCGAAAGGGCAACGGTTTGAGGAGCGCTCCGATGCTGGGAAAGCATCGATCACTATCAGTCCACAGAGGGATCTGGATGTCCAATTGCACCATGAAGGCCTGGAGGCTGGAATGAACAGGATGGGGACGCACTGCTTTTTCAGCGTGGTCTGTCAAAGTAAGTGCTGGAGCCAGACAGCGCTTGATCTGCCCTTGCTTCACAGCTGAGGCAATAGCTGTCCAAAGAACCCAATTCAGCCCACAGCTCTCCAGGTCCCGTTCCTCTACTTACCTCGTCCATTTCATGAAAAGCCTTGATAGCATCCTCCATCATTACACATTCCTGCATGGACATGTTTTTCAGTGGCGTGATCGCAGCATAGCATAGCACAGGAGCCCCACATCCTGAACCAAAGAAGTGGGGGGATGAAGGTAGCGACTGAGAGGGCAAACGAACAAGAAAACTGCGAGGTCATTTCCCATGCCGACTGGGTCCACAGAACCCCACAGTGGGCGCAGAAGCCGCCTGTACTGTGCCTTCACCTTATGGAAACCGAGTATGACAAACGTGCAAAATCAAGTATGAGAGCTAAGGTCCGCATCTGAATCCTGACTGTCCGATTGCTCGTGGCACCACGGCAGCGATTGAAGGACAAGGACAGAAGTATCTGAAACTCAATTGAAATGCAGCTTTTGGCAGTTGGCATACAGGCTATTTCCGCGTACAAGCGGACCGGAGGCAAGCCCAAACGAACTGCCCTTGAAGATCCTGTCGTCCCTGAGACCCTGCAGAAGCTATCAGGAACCCCTGTAAGAACTGATGCCAAAGATAAATGCTGCCACGCAGCATCTCTGCCAATATCTTCACACCTCCACCACGCGTCACCTCCCAGAAGCCGATTGTGCCTCAACTTATCGCGAGCGTGAGCTTGGAAGTTCTGTGAGTGCATTGCTTGAAGCCTAGCTCGTTCTCTGCAACATGCGTCGCGTTGGCAGGATTTGCCAAAGAGCCCTTGGCAAGAGCCAGGCTCGAGAATAAGAACGTTGTCCTTCAAGCACTGCATTTTGTTGGCGTCTGCATCCAATGCGCCACTGTTCCCTTAATCTGATGTTGGGTGTAGCATCCTTGAGCTATTCTGTCAGTCCAGATTGGCACCCGCCAAGCCAAGCCAGGGGCCAGCTGTATCCACGCTTGCGATGATGTTCGCTGTGCGGCCTGACAGCACCCTATATCTCAAAGCATGCCTTCAGCCGAGGGAGGTTAAACATACCTGAGGATTAATCTTCTGCAAAAAGAGAAGGCACCACTTTCTCCGGGACATATACCAGCGGCCTACTGTTTGCATTGATCCTGTGCCCTACTACAACGGCCTGCAACTGCCAACTATGGAACACGTCACGCGCCTGCTGGTAACCATCGCAGGTTCAGCATTGCAGTGCCTGGCCCGACAAACTGGCAACAGGGGAGTGAAGCACACTTACCACGCTGCTGGCAACCCTCTATGCGTTTGAAGCTAGGGGCTCCTCCTAGAGTCCGCCTGAGACTTGGTGCCTGAATGCAAGAGGGAGATGACTACAGCGAAGCCCTGATGAAAAAAAAAGCCTCGTTTGGAGAGGCGCTTGCCACGCTCCAGCGCGGCTTTTTCTGCGGCTGCCTCCATGTCATCCTTCTCCTCATCCCTGTGTTTCACAGGTGTTGCATTGAATTGTCACAATGGTTTGAACATGGAAGTGTGCATCTCTGGAGTTAATTAGTCACCAGTGGGTGGAGCAACTCTTCAACACAGGAGCTATGCCTTGTGAGATTGCGAGGAGACAGATTCAGCGTGTGAAGGTGCTGTGCTCCTCGGCTGCCAGCGGGGGCTTGGAGAGCGGTGCAAACTAGAAGCCGTGCCCTTGAATGCTTAGAGAATGTGAGCGTCAAGACGACCAAAATCTCCTCCTTCCAATGCGCCTTTGGGCCACTGGCAGTACGAGGCGTCCCAGAGCTCCATTGACTTCTCTAGCGACTTTCACCATATTCCAGAAAGCCACTCCACCACATAAAGAACACAGACCATGACCCCTTCCTGAACTATAACTTCAGCTTCCCTCTCCTCTAAGTGCTTCTTGGATGTTGCACCCCACCTGTGCCTCAACTGCTGGCATGGAGGTCTACTTCCCCAACCACTTAAATGAGGCAGAATAAAGCTGGAATAAGGCCAATTGGAAGTCTTGAGATGTCTTGAGATGTCTTGAGAAGTTATGCAGGGCCATTCCACCCTCGAACGTCCCGCACTGAGCAGATCAGGTCATAATGGAAGCTATCCCAGATTGACGGCTGCGCAAATTCCTTGCCAAGCGGCGGGCGACGTCAAAGACGCGTAGGCCACCATCCAGATAGGCTGGAAAGGCAGGACATGCCAATGCTGCGCTGGCTCGGAACAACAAACTTATGATTGCAAAAGCTAACCACTTGAATTGGCCATATGTGTTACGCAGATTAGTTGCCTCAAGGAGGCTGGAGGGTGGAAGCAATGCTCCAATATGCCGGGAGCCCTAGCACGTGCTCTCTAAACTTCAGGCCTCCAGCCAGCTGCAGGTCATCAGGCGAGAACCGCAGCGAAAAGCAGGCCTCGGTGGCATCAAATCCGCACAAGCTCCGAACTGGGCTGCGTGTGCCGGACCGATCACAATTCATGACGGCCCTTCAGTGTCAGGACATCACAGGAACTTTCAATTGCATCGAAGAGACGTGACCATAGCCCTGGAAATGCAGCTTGGGAAGATCCTGCAGATCAAGCGAGAAGGACGACAAGCATGTTGGGGCCAAGCCTGTCGAATGTTGACTCAGCCTTTTCAATGTGGGCTTAGTTGAGCTTGCGATGCTGCCAGGAATACGTGCTCTCAGGGCTTGCTGCTGCAGCTGTGTCCACGTCAGGTGCACTTTTGTCTTTGCAGCGTCAGGTCCAGGCCACCTTGGCCTTGCTAGGAAGCTATGTCTTGCTCAGTAATCGACTGCACATTCACAGAAAGTTGTGGCCCAAACCTTCACTTCATAGATTCTACATGTCCGGCCACACCCGCAAGCAAGTTACTGAACAGTTACTAACAACAGGACGCAAAGGCCATAGCATGTGAGCCACATGCCAACCAAAAAATTGCTGGCACAACTGTGAAGCTGTGAAAGGAAACTGAAGGCAGACACAGGGCGCTGCATCAGCTGAGCACATCAGCCCTAATTAAAAGCAGGCCCTGGTGGCCCAAAGCATTTAAACACTGAGCAAGTAGTACGTTCTCTATACATGTCCTAGCATTTAGCTGGAGCGCGTAGTTGAACACATCATCCACGCAGTTTTGCGCCAGACCCCCTTCGCTCAGTCAGAACTATAATCAGGCTCCTCCATCTTCACAGCCTTAGCCCGGAGAAACTCACGTGTCCAGGGGTTGTCCCTTACAAATTGGAAAGACTGAGATCCAACTCGCATGGTCTCCACGAGCTGCCCGTGCTTGTAGAATCTCAGGCAGGTCGAGGTGAGGATTTGAAAAAACTTTCTGGAAGCAAAATTGAAAAGGGAAAATGTGCAGCTCTTGCATGTTTTGATCTGCACAGGCCTGCCAAGAGGTCGTTGGGTGTGGCTTGCAGCTTGGGGCTCCGAAGCTTGGGCGGACCATGGACTGGCATGTTCCCACCTCTCTTCATCCTGCAGCCAAGCATTGGGCGCACAGGCTCAGGCTTTGAGGATGTAGGAAACTCCCTTCCTTGACGCGTGGCAGCTTGGAGGGCGCTCTGCGAATCTGCCTGCGGTCCTCAGTCGGAAAGTTTTGGACGCACCTCGATGCTCCCACCTGGCGCAAAGAACACCTGTCGATGACAAGCAGCATGGGGCACCTTTGTGAGCCAACCATCGTCTAGCTCAAAGCGTCCCTCGCGATCCATGTCGCCCAGGTAGGACTCTAACCTCCAGCTTCCCAAAGTAGCCTACGGCAGCCCTCCTTCATAGCAAAGCTCACCACCAATTTTCATGCTCCACCTCTTGATCCTGTCCTGCCGCCAAGATTCTCACCCGTGTCAAACTGACCCAGGTGCTCGGGCATCACTTTGCGGATTGCTTCCACTTCCAGCCAACCATCTGGGAAGCACGTGTGGAAACAGGCATGTCTATGCTGACCATCCAAATTGTTAAACCAACCGAGGCTCTGACCACACCGCTGGATCCCCAATTCACGATATCCAGCAGCTAGAACCTGTGGCAACAACTGTGGCTAAGTCCGATTGTTGTCTACCCCTTGAAATGGTGCTAGCACGAAGTCATGGCTGGTGCAAAACGGCAGGAAAGTCATACTTCGCTGTCAGGCTACCCATGAAATCCACCTTGACATTTTTTCGGCACTTCTTCCATCAGTGCAACCTTCGCAGCCGTTGAGTGTGCCATTGACTGCCAGGGAGACTGCTACATGTAACCCGAGATTCGTCCAGACAAGATCCTTTCATGATCATATCGGCTCCGCACCACTAGACAAGCTGAACATGAATATGCACACATTGCACGCCTGCATTCCACACCTGAACATCCTAGGAGCCCTCCGCAGCTCTGCTATGCTCTGCTTAGCAAGCGTCGCTGCGGTCGTCTGTGGCGAGCAGTAGGCACCTCTGACTTGCAGCATTCTTGCAGCAAGCACGATTAACCTGGAAACCAGCAGTCAGCGCTACTTCTCCAGGTCTGTGATGCGTCCAACAGGCAGCTGACATGTTATGCGAGAGACAAAAGGATAGAAGACAAGCATGATCAACCCAAAGCCACACTCATGAAATGTGTCAAATGTAGCTTTTAGCAGTACATTTATTCGTCTTGCCCAACACCTAAGACCTACTATGTTTCGTGTTACGGATGCATGCAAAGACGATTTTCCTTGCTTTTTCCGCGTCCCTCCCACAGCCCACACTGAGCAGGTCGTGGCATCCTCTTGGAAACATCGCCAGGCGGCTTGTGTTCATATTCCCTTGTCCAGTTTCGCGTCTGTTGCATCGGCGAGCAACGGTCTCTTCAACTTGGGGTGACAACAACCAAGGCATCTAGGCGACGCCTATGCCCTATGCACTCTCCTGAAAATTACTGTACTGATAGAGGAATGTGAACCTGAACTGAAACTGTTCTAGGTGACACTAACAAGCAAGGCCAAACTGCACCTCCTGCTCATCAGCATCATGCTCCTGCATGAGATGAAGATGCATCAGATGCAGTTGGATGTCCACGGCAACGCAGCCGCATCCGAAGGCTTCGCAGCAGGGCAGCTACTCTTAATCAAGATGCGGGAAGCTGCAAGAGAAAGGTCTTGCAAGCTGGTCTGCCAAAGCACCCGCGCCTCTTTGGCCCAACGTCCTTGCATGGAACGAGGCGTCGATGGGGTCCACTGTTCAGAATCGAGAGTCGCATGGAATCCTTAACGTGCCAGCCTACTCAGCTCCCACTGCTGCATCAAACATGGAAAGACGACAATAAGAGAATTATTCCATGATGACGCGTAAAGGCTTAAACTTTAACGCTGATTCGGGTTCGTGGAAGGATACAAATGATGGGTTGTTTGGCAGCGCCACTCAGCCTGTGACAATGTCTTTGAGACACCCCTCCTGGTAAAGTTAAGCGTCGCTTGCTGGGAAAGACTCTGATGATGACATCCTGGCCAGACACGATCTTTGGGCCGTGGGGAGACGAAAGTCAAGATTTCATGGAAGCCTCTAGGCAGACAAAGCAGAAACTGAAGCACTCCCCTTCCTCGTTGTCTGCTCCAGTTATACCAAAGCGGAGCGAACCTCCATCTCCGCTTTCACGCAACATGTGCTTGCGCACTGCAGCCATCACCTCAGCTGATGGAACTGAGGCCAAGTCCGGGGTCGAAAGCAGCATAGATTCCGTCAGCTCCAACTAACTTAACTAACTGTACCACTTCTTATTGCGCTTTCTGATTTGCCAACTGTGCAGTGTGAAACACAGCAAGTGCTCAGCTTCAGAACAGAACTGCTCAGAAGTGACGGTCAAGGTACTTCATTCTCTGTGTATCCGGCAGCATCGCCCCAGCATTCCCTCAGCAGACTCAGACCCTCCAAATCATTCAAAGCACTGCGACGCGGGACGGCGGCGGTCTTTGGCACAAATGCACAGCGTATAATCAGAGCCCTGACATGCACTACCCAACGTGTTTCAGCAGGAGCTCATCAAATTCCTCAGGCGCATGTTGCCATCCTTGTCCACGCGCAAGCCCGGGGGCCGATTCTCTGGATAGCGACCGAAGCCAGAGATTCTGCCTGAGATCTCCAGAGCTGAGAGCTGAAGCTACCCTCCTTGGGATTCTTGTAGAGTGATGTGCGATCCATCCACACGCTGGTTTTCAGAATGTCATTGTTCTAACTGTATGTACACAAAAACCTATTGCGGCTTAAGTGACACTGTAACTTGGTATCCAAAAGAGGTGGAGGCATACAAGAGCAAAAGTCGTAGATGTCGGAGTCCGTGCACCAGGAATGCACCGGTTGCATTACAACAACAATCGAAGCTGTCGTGGAACTAGTCCTTGTCGTCTTCTACTACTGCTACACGTTCTTCTTCTACTACTACTGCTACTGCTACTGCTACTACGACTACCACGACTACTAGTACTACTACTACTACTACTACTACTACTCCTGCTGCTGCTGCTGCTGCTGCTACCACCACCACCACCACGACTGCAGCTACTGCTGCTACTACTCTACTGCCACTACGACAACGACTACTGCTGATGCTACTGCTGCTACTGCTGCTGCTGAGGCTACTACAAGTCCAAACTGGCAAGAAGCATAGTCGCAGGAGGACGTCGACCACGATCACCAACACGACCACTACCACCACCGCCGCCACCGCCACCACCACCGCCACCACCACCATGTCCACCACGACGGCCATGCGCACCGAAATCCACTTCAGCTGCGAAAGCCGAATTCTGATGGCATCAGAAGAGCGAAGATTGCTGCTGCACGCGACCTGCATGTAACTACCAGCCGCTACATCTCCTTCTCACAACCACCTCCACGACCACGATCACGACCACAATCAACACCACAACTACCGCCGCCTCTGCCGGACAATTGCTTACATCATTCCGTTAGTTTCCAAGGCTACAATGACGAACCGTGTCCGCTTTTTTGTTGCTGGAATGTCGGCATCACCGCCAGAATCGCAAGATCCGTGTTCACACCAAGGCGCTCGTGAGCCTCGGAATGTGATGGACGTGCTAAAAAAATCTACTCAAGCGTCATAGGGACATGCAGCGATACTATATTGGGGGGAGGGCTGATTGTTGGGGGCGGGGGGTTTATCAATAGGGGAGGGGATGAAAAAAAGGTTTGGTGAGGATTTTGGGTTTATCTGTTGGCGTATTAGGTTCAGGTTCAGGGTTTCAGACTCTGCCCTGCTATGGGTCTAGGGATTGTGCAGGAATAACATCGAAGGCAGTCACATAGGCATTACATGGAATTGCGGAATAATGCGCAAATTAAGGTAGAACACAGGTGCCCAAAGCGAACTTCTTGCCCTAGTAAAAACTCCGCCAACCCGCACAAGTAGTAAGAACAAGAAGCACAGCTATGTAATGGTACCACAAGAAAGGGCGACAATTAAAGCAATGATCTTTGCCAGCAAGGAAGCTTCTCAGTGTTCACATGGCGCCGCGGGGAGCGGGATCGGCCACATCGTGGCATGGCAGAGCAGATTGGCACGCTGTCGCAGGATGATTCATGGTGCTATACTTTCTCGTGAGATTGTGTAGTGCTCTGCGGAATTCTGGTAACGGATTACTCTGAAGATGGCTTCGAGAAAGCTGCATGCTCGAGAAGCATGGATGTTTGCCCCAACATGACCACAACCCATGACCTTGCACAATATGCCAAGAACAATGGTCCCAAGCTCAACCCTCTCTGGCCGGTCCGTGGAGGGATCAACAGTGGCCTGAAGTAAACAATCAAGGCCACTTTCCACAACTTTCACATGGGTTCGCATGGTACCTGCAATGCAGGCAAGCGGCACGACGGCCGGCGTTTCGACCGGCACGGCGATTCACTGTGATGGAGGTGATCCGAGCTGGCCACAAAGGCGAAAGGGATTGAAACAATCGAAACTAACCTGGCACTCTCCCCCAGCTCAGGCATCGATACGCCTCTAGGTGACCTATGTTGTTTTGGTCCTTGCCTGACGGAGAACCTGGATCTTCCAGGGGCTGCTTCTTCGGGCTGGTAGTGCCGTCCTGTGATCGGCTCATATTGGCTCATGGTGGCCATTTGTCTGTCTTGCATGTCGTGCTTGCATGCAAAGTTGGGAGGGTCCCCCTGAAGCCTACAATCCCGCAAAACCCAGCTCCGACGTGAAGCGCCGCGACGTGTTGCGAGGTTCCCGGCTCTGCTTGGGCTCCAGGACCTGTTGTCCAGCAGCCTCAGGGATGAAAGGCTACCTCAAACTTTGAGGATATGGACGTTGAGCTCTTTGCCTTGAGCATCTCCTTGGCCTCATTTGCTTTGTTCACCGCCTGAGGCCCCAGGCAAAGGGGGAGAGGGAACCGAGTAGAAAGTCTGCCATGTTTGCAAAATCCAAACACCGTCAACTTAGTTCTGCGCCAAGTTCTTCCGGTGTTCCGTCTCCTGGACGTCCTGGCGATTTCAGAATCCGGCTGAGATCGGGAGGATTGACATGCGTTGCGTTCGCAACTATGCAGGCTTCCCGATTTGCAGGTTGTCATTTAGGCATTTCTCGACTTTGCATCTGTGAGGATTCCCGCATGGCGTAGCAAGCAGTCTCCAACCAAGCGTGGGTATCTAGAGATGACCTAGTTGAGGGAGGCAACAAACTCAACACAGAGTAGATCCCATGCCAAAGCGCAAGACATGCAAATGGGTCTTTGTCGCACCGCCATCCTTGGATCTACTCAACGTCTCAGGACTGGAGGCGATTACGCTGCTGTTGATCAATAAGTGCCAACTAGCACGTCAATCCAGCGGATGTGACCCGTCGCCTTGGACTTGGCTATGCCAAGGATCGCAAAGACCTTTGGCTTCCGTGACATCAACCCGAATAACTGCTCCAGGATTGCACGCTTAAGTCAAAGCATCCAAACTTTGGCACGAACTCTGCAACTTTGTTGTCCATGCGCGTGGTGTGCAAGGGCCCACGCGTCAGAGGCATCGCTTTTTGCACGTTCGCGAAGTTGTTGCTGCTTCCGCTTCTCTTCTTTCTCCGCCTTTTCCTCCTGTACTCGAAGGTCACTGAAGGCAGGTCAAGACATGAGGCCGAGACCCCACTTTTGTGAAGCACGGGCTACAAACCGTTGCCGTGTCCCCGATGCCTCTTCTTTGGCCCACTTCGGATTGTCGGCCATATACTGAGAAAGCTCCGCAGCCTCCGAGCTCAGTGATTGAATCACCCAAGCTGAGCAAACTGGAAGCAACGGTGCATTATCGAAACAGGTTGATTCCTGAACGGGGTTTGCTGGGGCTGGAAGACGTCTCTTGGAGTTCACCACGTTTACGTTTAGATCTCAGAGACTGTCATCCTCCAACAACTCTGCAACCAAAAAAATGTGACCCATCATGAGCAGTCACCTCGACCTGCAGCCACGCATGCTATGAAGCCCCAACACCAGGGCGAAGCAAAGTCATCAGGCATTGCCAGTCTGCACCAATCTGACACACCTAAACCCCTCGCGCGCCAACTTGTGGAACTGCCGGAAATCCAACCTTTGCTTTCCTGCCAGCTGCGAAAAGAATCAATGCCAGCTATTGCACGAAGATTGATGAGCATGCACTGCCAGCCGCAGCCGAAAATCTTGACAGGTGCAGTGAGATGGGGAAAAGAACGTGTGAACCCTTGCAATGCCTAGGACGTCCATCTCGTCGAACATCTCCTGCAAGGCTACACTACAGACTGCTTCTGTTTTCATGTGGCAGCTCTCACCCTCAACCCACAAGCCGTCAAAAGCCTTCAGCCGGTACTTGGGCATCTCCGCACTGGCTCCAAGGATCCTGTGCAGCCGCAGTCAAGCAAACTCATCTTCAGTCGATGCAGCACCCCGAAGCCTCTTGAAAGCCTTGCTGCATTCGGTCTCAGTGATGAGGCCGTCTTGGTCCTGCTTGTGAAGCCGTGCAAAAGAATACGCACATGCTTAAAGGACATGCAAGACCGCTTTGAGAATCACAACACATCTTGCATAACCATCAGTGACTATCAACCACCTGGTTTCCTAAGCAGACACCACATCTCACGTCCCTATGCACTGCCCCACTCGGACTATGCTGACTCCTGGCGACACAACGAAGACAAGTGTGGTATTCAAAAAAAATGCTGGGTCCTATACAATTCACAATATGAAATGCCCCCGATGATTCTCTCCTCGTCAGACATGTCCTTGGCAGGCATCTTTGCCGGGTGCTTGCAAGCAAACGTCCGTGTCCAAGCTGAGCTGAGCTTCGAAAGCAACAGACCATCGTGCCTGGGAGCTCCGAAGCTCTTCCAAGGTTTTCTCCTGCTCTGGTACCCAATCAGCGGAGGCTGTGAAGAAGCAGCAGCAGTAACTGAGGACCGGCGCCTTTACCGCAGCTGTCCGTAGTATCACCGCAACAAGTTGGAGCAGCCACAATTGAGCACGTAGCAACGCTGATGCCAGCTCATAACAAGTTGAGGCGCAAGAAGTAATGCTCACAAAGGTCGGGTCGTGGCCTTGTTGCCCAAGCGTGCTTGCTGCAATTTCCATGCCTGGCTTGATTTGGCAACTCCTTCAAACTTATGATTCGGGTCAAGCAAAGGGCTGCAAAGGGTGACAGCACCTGTATCGGATCCATCTGGAAGCACAAGTCAGGGCAAGGGAACACACTGCTGAGAAGCTGTTGAGATACTTTCTTGGCTTGCGCGGCTTCGAAACGCCTAACAAGTCCTGTTAGATACTTTGAATGGGCCAGCTTGCATTTTGCGTTGTCGCACTTCGTGGCTTGTCGTGCAACCATTGTAACCCTCCAGTCACACTCTCGAGAGCCAACTCATGTATGACAAGCTTCTTGGCAAGATGGTGCACAGCAAATCTTCATTAAAGGCCACGTCTTTTAACGCCAACACATCTAGCAGAATGTAGCATGTATGCATCGACCAATGAAACAACATGTTCCTCTGCATAGACCTAGCGAGAACATGCCATGTGAATGAAGGCTGTTGCCGCGGCAATTCCTTCTTGTCTTTCTTCTCCTCCTTCTTGTCCTGCATAGCTGACGATAAGATTTATGTCCAATAGCGCGCAGCACGGAAGACCAATGGCAAACCCTTCACAAGATCTTCAGCTCAGTTGAGAAACGAAGCTTTTCGTGAGAAGCCAGGACAATAGCAAAAACCTTAGAGCTAATCAAAATCAACCCGGACCTACAGTTTGCAGGCCTTTTTGTCTTTTGTCTTCTCTTTGCTGTCCTTAAGCTTCCTGTCTTCGGCCTTTGCAATGAGTGCCCGGACTGGAAGTCAAAGTTGCGAGTGCACCACCCATGACTCAAGAGCCCAAGAGCCTGCTCTGTTCCTTTCTGATGGCCCCCTGCAGTACCAAATGAAGGAATGAAGACTTGGGGTGGAAGATCAGCTTGAAAGTAAGCGCAGGTTCTTGAGGGATCGGCCCGGACCTTCTTCTTCACGGCCTGTCCACTTGCCCCAATCGTTTTCATCCTGTGCGACAGTTCCCATCCAGCTTGTGAGCTACTCGTGCGAAACATACCAACTTGTGTCCTCCAGCTTGTTCCAGGACCCCTGACTCCAATATGTGCCGCCTGCCCCCACAGACAGCAAGGCTGCGGATTTCTAACCCTGAGGTTTCGCAACTGCAGCGCCTTGCGGGTTCCATTCGTGGCTTTGCCACCAGGACGAATCATGGTGCCAGGACCTCACTCTGGTGTTCGTAGTATGGGCTGCATTGCAAGTGAAGCTCCAAAAAGCTTTTCAGGTTTTGGCTGCCATTTGTCATCCTTCCATGTCCACGGCTCGCCCTTCCACTCATCCCAGGTCTTGTCTGACCAATCCCACCTCACAGATCACGTCTGAGACCATTAAGACTGAGAACTCTTTAGTCGCATCATCTGATTGCAGACTTCGTACTAAGAGCATCCAAGAAGCTCTTGCCCCTCGTCTTTCCACCTAGCCAGGTGAAAACAGAAAGTATTTTTATGCAGCTTTGAAGACGCGCATGCAATGTCTGCAGCAGATGCTTCTTAGGTTGAGATCCTGCAGCGGTGCCTCCACTCATCCTTGTCCTGCGCAAGCCTCATAAACATAAGTCAGAAGTAGCTACTCTTTCAGAAGATGTCTTGCAAGTGATAAACTACCGTGCTTCGAACATAATTGCGCAAGCAGCGGCTACCCCCACTTCCCACTGCAAGTTAATCTGAATAACAAGGTGCTACATCTCCTAAGGCCTCAGTGCCTGGCACGTTTTCAGCTGCTTGCTGAGATTGTTTGGGCGCCTAGCCAGAGCAAAAAAAATCCATACAATTGAGCGTCCAGCAAACTTGCAGTGCAACACCTCGCCTTTCCACGTAGCTGCGCCAAGAAGGAATCAACAGCATCATCCCCTTTGTCCGCTGGCAATTGTTCAGAAATGCATGCAAGGCAAACGGGAAGGTAAAAGGCGTTCGCACCCAGTGCATCAGCTAGAACACAGCAACAAGTGCCAAGCGAGTTGTGTCACTTCTGGTACATTTCATGTTGCTTCTGGAAAAACGGTCAAACAGAAGCTAATCAGCACCCTGCAGTCAAAATGGAATCATGTTGTTGAGACTTCAAACTCCATCAACAATATTGAAGCGGCCTGGGTCACGCCTTCGTGGAGGATGCGCTGGTCTTGCCTTCCAAGCGCAGCCCGAGCAATGTCGTTTGCTCACTTCAGGGAGAGAAGAGGAGAAACAAGCAGCAGAGCCCGTGCCTTGGGGGGCGTTTTTGGCACACTCGGCCTTTCTCCCCCAGCCTGCCCATTGCAGAAAAGGACAACCTAATGGTCATGCTGGCATAGTCTGCACCATTGACGTGGCAATCCATCTAAATGGGGTGCAGAAGATGCTGATGGTGCGGTTGGTCGACTTGCGACAGTCTGGCCAGGGCTTGATGTTTTCTGGGCCGTGAAGGAGTGGTCTATCTTGCCACTGCCAAGCAGGCCAACAGCACTTGTTCTTCCCAGCGGCTGCCCAAAGCAGTATCGCGCTGGCTCTCAGCGAATATTTGCGGCAGGCTCCAACCAGAACGCCCAGTACCCATCTCGGATTCCCCTCAGGCGTCATCCGATAGAATTGGAGCGATACAGAGAAAAATGACATGTCATGGTCGAACCCTTTCCCAAAATCAACATCGAACCGATAGAGTAGTTGACCCAGCGATGTCTGAGAAGGGCTCTGGACGTGCTCAACATCGCAGATGATGGGAGTTGGCAACCCAGGTCACATGTCGAAATCTTTAGCCTCGAAGTGGTCCCCGTGGACAGCAAGCAAGACAACTTTGCATCCGCGCGCTAAGTTACTGGTGCAAAACTTGCCAAACTTGGTAAGGAGCAAGCTTGCAGTGCCCTTCCCATCCCACGTGAAGTCTAACACAGCTGCTGTCAACCTGAAACCTCCGTGTTCAACGCAACAAGAACATGTGTTGCTTGCCTGGGCTGAGGCAAACAATCTCTTTCAATCAAAATATCGCTGAAATGCTACTTCACAGCTGCAGGATGAAATCCCACGAGCCGCCTTGTCGACACATATGTCACGCCCAGACAGGGTCAACCACATCCAAGTGACAGCTTTGTCACACAGTACGGCCAGAGTTGGGCCACTCCCCAAACCCTCAAAATCCCACAAATCAAATCGTGAAATACCACCCGCCTTGGAGGATGCTGATGTAGGCAATGCGGACGGCAAGGGAGCAGATGCCTCAAACAGTGCTGTGAGGTCTGAGGCATCTAGATTGAAAGACAGAAGGGCCAGAAGTGCTTTCCCCACCCCAAGCTCCTTGCTTTTTCCCCAACAACGCCACTGCAAGCGCACCGACCCTGATCTATCCTAAGGGTGGTTGGAACACAGCCTGATGGCAGCAAATCACTCTTGACTTGTCATGAAGCTTTCCAGCTTTCCAGGAAGGGCGGATTTGCATTCATTTTTCCCTCTGTTGCCAGCAGGAGGCCAGCGCAAAGCATTGTGATGCTGGCCCACAAAGCTAGCAGTGCTCCGGTAGACATTCCGCTCTTGCAAAAGGTGGACAGAACTCTTTGCACTATAAACTCAGAGCCTTTAAGTTTGCCAATCGAGTCTTAGGAAGCATGATGGCAGGATAACACGGCGACATGGCCTTCAAGACAGTGCCTACCAATTTTGTGGCTGTCTCTAGGAACTTCACAACCTTGCAATTCCCGCTTCACTGCTGCAGTCGTTTTGGTCCAGCTTGTAAAGCAACAACCGAAAGGTGGAATGATCTAACGTCCTCGTGCTGCTCAACGTCCACCTGATCTCTGTCACAAAATGGCTGCACGACTACAGCTTGCCGTCCCACATTAGGACGAAGCTCTTGTCCTCCATGTCATTACCTGTAAGGGGCCGCTGGTCCACACATTCCTGCAATCTGTTCCCCTCACTGGTTTCCCTTGAGGACTCCAGCAACTTCAGACCCGTACCAGTGTCTCCCAAACCTGCAAGTGAAGGGAGAGAGCAGGGCCACAGCACCAAGAGGAGCCCTAAAGATAAATCCAAAAAGAGAGCATGAGACGAGTCTGCAGACGAAACTACTTCGTGAGGTCAGCAGTGCTCAAAGCCCTTCTGGAGCCAGAAAATGTTAAAGCATTCCACACGCCGGCATGCAAAGCTGCCCAGCCCAAACCAATTGCCCCCGTCTCTTTACAGGTCTGTATTCTCAAGCCCAAAGCCACCTCCGCAGAGGGCGTGCGCAGTGGTTGGGGCAGCTGCTGAGGCTCCCTCGGCGGCACTCCAACAAGGGTATAAGAAGGTTCTGAAGGTTCTGAAGGCTTCGGCCTTCTCTCTAATGCTCGGGGCTGTGGCATCACGGCAGGCGGGAGTTTTGGCGGAGCTGCCACCTTGCTTCGTCAGAAGGCTCCGCAAGCTGAAGCTCTTTAGTCTATGCCGCTGAGCTTCTAGTCCTTGTCCCAGCGCAGGTCCTTGAGCGCTGGTGCTTGCTGGGCTGGCCTCGCTCAACACTGTGTGCAAAAGAAACATTTGCGCAGATCATGGAAGGCTGAGCAGCGGCATGACATCATCCATCATCCCCGCTAAAACTGGCCAAGCCACCATGGGCCGAGGCGGCGCAGTGGCAGGGAGCCTCGTGCATAACTCCTGCAATGCAAGTTCGGTGTTTTTGCCTCCTGCTTGCTCTCACTTCTGATTGAGCCACGT